CTTTCTTTCTTTCTTTCTTTCTTTCTTTCTTTCTTTCTTTCTTTCTTTCTTTCTTTCTTTCTTTCTTTCTTTCTTTCTTTCTTTCTTTCTTTCTCATCCTCTCTCTCATGCCCTACTTGTATAGTTGTTGCTCCAACTCCAGATAATTAGATTGATGCTTAAAATTGATCCGCCCGGCAGGTCCGAACGCGTCTTTGAAAACAACCCATCTCTTCAAGTAGGTCACCCTTCCCATGCCCAGAATTTAGATTAGAAGGAAGATAGGCTGGGCCAGCTCGAGTCACCTTAAGCCCAGATGTTGAGTTCCTGGCCATGGCGTTGAGTTGGGAGAGGACCGGTTGAGCTTCTTCGAAAGTTGGCATCTCCAGAGATGAGAAGGGGTTGTATTTTTCCTTGACAATGATCCTCAAAGCTTGGCCACCACCCAAGGAGGTATATAGGAAATGATCAGACCATGCCATGAGTCAACCCTGGCTCCATCTTCTTGTTCTCCACTTCTCTCTCTCTCTTCTCTTGCAGGAACAGGAAGCAGCTGTGAAGGTGACACCTTGTTGGGTGAGGACACAGAAAATCAGAAGACCTCAGTGTTGTCTTGACTCCCAATTCTTCTCCTTAGCTTCCATCCATCCTTTCTTCTCCACCAGACACCTGGACGGATCTCTCAATATGTCCAGGCTGCTCAGAGCCTTCGCCGAGATGATTGAGGGCAACTCCAAGGTGGCTCCACGCAAGTCCACCGACGCCGAGCCGTTGAAAAAGAGCGAGTTCAAAACTCTAATTCAGAAGGAGTTGACTACTAGCAAGGTAATCTGAGTGGGGTTTTTTTTGTGTGTGAGTGGAAGAAATGGTTTTGATGGAAGTTTTGAAAGGGCAAAGGAGAAGAGGAGGTAGGTGGGAAGGGACCAGAAGAAGGATGTCACGCGATTTCAAAGAAGCAGAAGTTTTGTAGAAACTCACGGATCTTCTCCAAAAGAGGAATTTCACTTGGGTAGGTGAACGAGTTATGGGGTGCATCACAAGAAGAATCAGGAGGTGCCGATGGAGACAGGAAGGAGTGGGTCCCCCTTCCTGGACTTTGGGTAGAGAGGACCTCCCCCACAAACCTTCCCCAAATAATAGATACCTATTTACTTTGACTGTTGATTGTTCCTTGATTGATTGATTATAGGCTATCAAGTTGTTAATGAGGATGATGGTTATTTTTTAAAGGTTATATTCGATGTGATTGTGGGGTCTGGCCTGGAAGAGAGGGGGATTTTTAAAATTTTAAAATTCATTTTCAGCTTTGATTGAATTCATGTGTCAAGGGGTAGCGGGACATTCGTTAGAGGAGAATATTTATAGATCGGGGTTGAACTGCGAGCTCTTGGCGCTCTCTGGACTTGGTGGTTTTCTTCCAGACATTTCATTACCAAAACTAGGTAATGTCATCAGTGCTAGAAGGGAGGGGGGGGGTTGCGGAGAGGTGGAGGTGGTGGTGGTGGAGGAGGAGGAGGAGGAGGAAGAAGAAGAAGAAAACGGTGGCGGTTTTGGAGCTATCTCAGCTTAGTTAATTTGCAGACATTTCATTACCCAGCTAAGTAACATCATCAATGCTAGAAGGTAATAGGGTTTGGGGGGGGGGGGGGGAGGGAGAGGAGGAGGAGGAGGAGGAGGAGGAAGAGGAAGAGGAAGAGGAGGAGGACTGTGGGGTCCTTGAGGCCCTCTGAGCTTGGTAGTTTTCCTTGTAGACATTTCATAACCCAACTAGGTGACAACGCTAGAAGGCAATGGCGTTGGCACTGATGATGTAACCTAGTTGGGTCATGAAATGTCTGCAAGAAAAAAACCCCAAGCTCAGAGACCATCACGGACCCACCCAGAAGGATGTTTATTGGCCCAACCCCCCCCCCCCCCAGAAGCCCTGCAGGCGAATCCACCATCTCCAGCTTCCCTTCAAGGCTGGCCTCCTTGACAGTCCTGGGGTTTACGCCCACCCTGCGTGTGCAAAGCCATCCTTTGCAAACAAACCGACCAACTCCAGTTCATTGCATCGGTGTCGTTCTGTTTTATGCTTTCCAGAGGACGCGCAAACACAAGAACGCCAAGCTTCTCCACGAATCCGACGCGGAACTGATGAACGAGAAAGAGCTGATGGGCCAATGGCGTTGAAGAAAGTCCATTTGCAAGAGTTTTGAACCCTGGTTTCCGTCCCCCCCCCAGCCCAAGCCTTTGGGAGGATAAATTTGGCCAGTATTCTAATGGCCTTTCTTTCTTTCCACCTTTTGAAAGTGCTTTTCTAACGCTTCCGAAGGAAACGCGCTCTGCTTAGGCTCAGGAGCTGCGGTCCTGCCTGTTTGCAACATTGACAAAATTGCATCGTTCCAAAGGCGTCGCTTAGAGCTTTGCTTAAGCCCATTTTGGAACAATGGCAGAGGAATTAATGTGGTTTCTACGAGTACCGACAACAGGGCAGTGTTTGGCACCCATTCCCCCCCAAAATGTAGCTGTTCCCCAAAGTGGCTAGTCCATAGGGAGGTAAAGGAGCTGCCTTCTCAACTTAGCTGGAGCAATATATTTGCTAAAGAAAGGCGAGTGAAATAGAGCCAAACATTTGTAAAGCCATTTTCCCACCCCACATATTAATCTAAGGTGTAAAAACTCCGGATCTGCATTTTCAGCCTGTTTAGCTTCTACTTTTATTCCCTTGGTTTAATTTGCAAAGAGTGGAAAGTTTGCG